AGATAAATAAATGTTTCTTTCAGAAGGAAAATTTAGTAGATTGAGAAGAATATGAAACAAATCACTGTTTTCAAGATGCTATTCATGCCTATACAACATTACTAATGATTTATATAGTACACTTAGCATTTTAGTGCTTTACCTGAGTCACTTCATGTAAGAGCACTTAGCAAAATGTTTGATTCACACTAAGTGTACAATAAACTTTATCTACTACTTTTCTTGTTTCCTTCCATTAATAAACCACAATACTAACCAGACTGACAAAATTAGAAAAAAGTATGAGCAGAAATCCGTTCATCAAATATATTCACTCTATCTATTTAATTGTGGTACTATATATACTGCTATACTAATACTGCATGAAGGATAAATTGCAAAAAGTAACTGTCTTCTACGAGATCCCCAACCTAAACATTATTTAAAGGTTTCAAAAGAGTGGAAGATTATTTTCTAGGCAAAAACATTGCTAATACATTCTATTACCTTACAAACTAACAGATTCAGCTATCTCTTATTATACTTTCCATGAAATCATATGTGTTGTTTATATAACATGTTACTCTAAGGCCAACATATGCCAAGGTCTCTGTGGTTCAGAATTTAGACCAATGAATCCAAGGTACAGGTCCTAGATTCAAAAATACCTGCATATAAAATGCTCCACACAATCTGGGTTTTGTGTAAAAAAATTTTCCAATTTAGTTTACACTTTGTGTGGCACATGGATCATACCTGAAGTCCATCCCTACTGCATTTTACATATCTTTACTCCATTTCCCCATTCAACGCCTTACTGAGCCATGAGAAATCGACCTCTGCCTTTTACCACTTCAGTGTGCCAGGACTGTCTCTTAGGCATGAGTTAACTTAATTTTCTAGAACATACTCATAAAGCAGATGGGGGAATTCACTGAAAGTAACTATTAACCATGACTAGGATCTGAGCTAATGCGATGCCCACACCTCTTAGGATTAATGGGACAAAAACTGACTTTTCTAAACAGGGGTAATTACTTTCCTAATAGAGTTGAAAAAAAAAAATACTCACTTCCTCTTATACGTCACTGGTTTGTAAGAGAATAGAATAAATTTAGAGGATGTTATGTCTTTGAATTATGATGAATTCTGACTAATTGTGAAAACTGAAGAAGGAGGAACACAGTCTGAGGCAGTACCGTACTTAAGTGCACATGCTCAGGAGTCAAACCTGGGCGTGAATTCTGGTTCTAACTGCTTAGCTGTGCCACTTTGAGCAAATTTCTTTTTTTTTTCAATTTGTTTTTAAGTATAGTTGAAACATTTTATCTACACACACACATCGTAAAAACAGTGAAAGATTTTTTTTGTTTATTTTACAAAAATAAAATCATACTTAACAGAGTTCTGTAACTTGCTTTTCTCACTATATCTTAGATACATTTTCATGTAGATATATATGGATTTTCCAATTATTTTAATGACTACATAGTATATAAAATTATGTATATACTCTAATTCAATTATAGTATCAATTGAGTATTTAAGTTGAATACAGTTTTCACTATTATGAACAATGCTGCAATGTCTGATTTTGTACATGGGTACTAATATTTCAAAAGGACATAGTTTTAAAAAGTAGAATTGCTGATAGGAACATTCTAAAGTTTAAAGATACTGCCAGATTTCCCTATAAATGAATGAACACATTTCCCTGTAAATGTGTTAAGCTCTGTTATAGGTATTGTGTATATGGGTGAACAGACAAAGAAGACCCTTCTGTTCTCATGCACTTTACATTATGGTTGTAGAGATAAAAATAAATTTATTAATTAATAACAATCTCAAAAAACAGAACAATTTCACAGAAATTACTGTAAAGAGGGGCAGGATTACTCTAGACTTGATGGCCAGTCAAGGCCTCTCAGAGGAGGTGACACTTAGGTTGAAGCCTAAATGACAAGAATGAGCCAGCCAGGGGAAGTTCTGGGGCAGAGAAAAAGCAGAATTTCAAGTGTGGAAACAAGATTGGTCTGTTCGGAGAATGGAAATAAGGCCAGTGGGCAAGACTGAGGCACACGATGTTGTAGGAGAGGATCAGATGAGGCAGCTCGGTAGGGGTTTAGGTCTCTGGGGGACATGGGCTTTCTTTTCTCAGCCATTAGAATATCTTAAGCATGAGAGTGGCATGATCTACTTTACACTTTAAGAGACCATTCTGGTTAATTTACTGATTGCCACTTATTAACTCTGTGTCCCTGGACAAGCTACAGTACTTTTCTTAGCCTGTTTCCTCATTGTAAAATTATGCAGAGATAATAATAGTATGTATTACATGGAGTTAATATGAGGACTAAATGAGAATGGAAAAGATTTTGCACACTGCTAGCACATAATAATTGTTCATTAAATGTTTTCAACTAAATCACTTTTACATCATTAAGATCATATTGAATAGAACTGAGCATATTCACTATTCCCAATTATGGAACATAGTAACTAAAAATATCTTTTAAAATTAGTCCAGATTCAAATTCCCTAATATTGAGAGGCTGGATATTTCTGTATTGAATCAACACTTGGCACTTCCCTCTTATCTGATCCTGTAACACAGTCCTGAGCTACTTATGTGTATGTGCATGCCCCTATTCTCACACACACTAGATTATTCATCCTTGTGTTACTACCAGAGCCCACAATGCTCAATATATTGCACAGAAGGCAGGCAAGCAGATAGCTAAGTGGATGGATAGATAGACTAACAGATACATGGAAGATAAAAATCATGGGGGCAAGAGTCATGTTTACTATTCTATTTGCATTTACATAGTAACCAGACAGCATGCTGGAACCCTAACAGAAGACACAGCTCTATCATAAGGACTTACTAACTTCCAATCTTGCTTCATCTCTACTGCAAATATTTAGCAACACTCAGAGAAACATGAAAGAGGCACTTCTCATGTTAACCAAGGTACTGAAGAATTATGAGTAAGAGAACCAAAATTATGAAACCTACTGACTTAACCTTCACATCTCTCATGCACTCAGATCTATTTGAGTGTGACAAATGATATCAAGGAAGTTTGTGTGTATAATTCAAATTTCTAAGCTTTGAAACAAAGACCCATAGTACTTATGGAAACACTTGTTCAGTGATCTTGCATCAATATATGTGAATTGTTTCTACATACTTGAAAGTGTGCAATGGATGAAAAAATGATCCTATTTGAGAATCCTATTTGAGATCCTATTTAATTAAATAAAATTAGTTAAAGAACAACTAGGAGCAGAAAATAATATCCCTTAGTGGAAAATGTTCATGATATACAAAAGCACTTTCCTATGCATTGCCTTATTTTGATCTTCATGACAACTCTCTCTCAAAAACATGGCAGATTATGTCTGCAGTTTATAGATGTAAAAACTGACATACTGAGTAGATGATTTGTCCCAAGTCTCTAAATCAATAAATGGCAAAACTGGAAATCTAACCTAGGCCTTGATAGTGTACTTTTGGCCACCCCAAACTAATTCAACATGTCACAAATAGTGCAATTGTTAAAAATGGAAGCATTTCTATTTAAAAAGAGACAGAGGAGCCACCAATATACAAAATAAGTTGTAAGTAGCATTATTCAGATGCCTCTAGAATAGCACAAGCCCTTTCAAGCAGGAAGATACTCCTTTTATATATAAGTATATTCCCTAGATCAACACAACAACAACAAAGCTTTCATCTCTTGAATACACACATATGGGACTCTGACGTCCATTCTCCACATTTCCTGCCTTCACTTCTCATAATGGTCTTATGAAGGAGTTACTGTTATCATCATCCTTGTTGTTATGATTACACAGGAGGAAAAAACTGAGGCATAAAGAGGTTGAGTAACTTGTCCCTGACCATTTAGCTAGTAAATTGGTTCAGTGACTCTTCACTGCAACATTATGCAGCTTCTTGAAATAGAAGCCTCTTTATTCCATTCCATCCTCTCCTCTGTAAGGTTCAACCAATAAGAGAAGAATCTCTGTGTTTAGGTTAATGATTTAAGTGCTCTCTGTGCAAGTTTAAGCAATATCAGTCTTGCTGACCAGTGAAAACACTTCATCTTTGAAGTGCTGGAGGACCCACATGTAGAATGGTGAATAGAGAACCTCGCACATGTATGCAGGTAACAATTAGAGAGAGCCTATCATGTGTCTGGCATTATATGCTAAGTGCTTTCTCTATATGTGTACTCCATAAATGGTAGCATTGCTCTTTTTTTCTCATAATGGAGAGATGGGATCCAAAGCTGTTGGAAATTAATCTGGGCAATGAAGACAATTTATTTTCATGAACACAGGCCTGTTGTGTCACTGGGTATAGAAAGCTGTTGCAGGTGTGTTGTAAGGGACAACTACTGCGCTGGCCCTTAATAAGACCCAAATGCGCACAAGTATGGAAGGGAAGTACCAGTGAAAAAACTGAGATTATAAGATGGACTCTCCACCTACGAAGAAATACTCTCCAGAAAAAGCAAAACTTAAAACACAAATAAGTTAGAAGTTTGTATATATAATAGAAAGTAAGTTTCTTTGTAAAGGTAAATATGTTTAGCATCAGTGGATTTCAGATTAAGACTGGAGGTGCAGGATGTCTGCTGAATCTAGTAAATCATCCAAACAGATCCTTATCTTTCACCCCTTTCATATTCTTCAGATCCCTAGTTGCTTAATATATTACATCTAAACAAGAAAGATGTGGAACTACTTACAGTAACAGACAAGGAGAAAGGAAGGAGGTAGTAAATATATAACTACATCAGAGATCTGGATTTCACTGCACATTCCGCAGCCAATATGAATGGTATTGATTTTCAGATTACCTCCTTTCCTCTCTATTAGTGAAGAGAACTGAATTGTCTGTGCATTTGCTTGATTCCACTGAGAGGCCTGAATCACCACTTGGAAATATCAATCATTCCTTTAAGATTAGTCCCTGCTAAAAGCCTGCAGTGAAATGATAATGCACTAACCTGTCTCCAGTTAATGGCAAAATAATGGTTGCTTGAGAAGAAAACACAATGAAAGATAATCTCATTTGAGGGCTGCAAAATAAGAAAAGAGGCAGTTAAAACATTAAAAGAAATATTGATAAAATACAGATATATAACTAGGGAGTCTCATTTAAAAGTGGTTTCACTGAGTGAGTGCAGGCTTCTTTTAAATGGAACTCCCTAAGCAGATAGACTAACTCTGCTTAACATTACTGCGTAAGTCATTTTGGATTTAGTCGGTGCTTCTCAGTACTCAAGTACTCCTCCATGACCCACAGGGCCATTTAGGAAGGCACTTAACTAGAAAGATAAATTCTAGGTCAATGTAAAATTCTTTTGTAGAAAACACTCCTTCCCTTGGTGTCTCCTCCCTCATATGCTTAAAGGAGGCCAAGCCCTTTAGAGTGGTATTGTTGGCAATATTTAGGGCTTAAGAGCTGCCAGTTTGATTTAATCACCCTAACTGTGACAGGAATCATACAAAAGTTCTCCTGAAGTAAGAATCCTGAAGTAGTGTCACAGGCAGTGTGAAAGAGACTAACAAATCACATTCCACAAGACAGTTTCAATTTTCCAAGTAACATCATACTTTCAACGGGCAACAAGTGCCCCAGTTAGCAACATCTTTCAAGCTTTAGGCATTTATCTCACAGAATGGTTCTTGTTTCTAAGATACTCTGTGCAACTGAAGATACGAAACTAAGATCTAGAAACTGACAATCAGAATGATCTCAAAGGCTTGTACATATTTTATATGTCATTCTCTTAAATAGTCAATTCCCACAATACATTGTTAGTAACTGAGCAACTATACTGGAGCCAGACAACTGTGTATTACTGAATTCCAACTTGCAAACCAGACCAGATAAATAAGAGCCCACTTTGAAAAGGTTGTATTGAAATGATCTGTTGCTTTTAATCAAAATCTATGTGATAATCTCTGCACACTCTTGGATTAAATCAGAAAATTTATAAACAACTGTCTCCTGCCTTTGACATTTAAGGATATAGGACCTTGTTTATTTTTCTTTCCTAGACAGTTTTACTTCAGACCCTGTCCAGAAATGAGAGTGTTATACTTGGCTTCTTAAGCAGGAGCATGATGATTGAACATGGACAAGCATACATTTTTATAGGAATAAGTTTACCGCTGCCAATAACTGAAAGCAAGGATTGCCTAGGCCTCTACAGATTGTTTGAAGTTACTTGCAACATGAATTTCAAAATGTTTTGATCATCCAAGCCTGTTTTACAGAAAACATTTGGGCTAACAAGACTGAAAAAAGCAATATTTAATGATACAGCTCCTTTTTGTGTCCTTTCCATTATCTTGATAAACTTGCATTTGCTCGTTGCGTATTTTTTTTCTTTTTTTTTTTTAAAAAAAGGAGGAAAAAAGGTTCAAAAGGCTGGTGTGCTGGGTTATTTTTAAATAAGGATGCCACTAATTCCTAGTTACCTCTAAGTAGAGAGTAAACTGGATTTCATAGCAGTTACGCTTTTTATAGGAGAGAAAACCAGCCTTTGCTAGTAAGTCCTATTGCATATATAGAACAGTTAAATTTTAAACCAGTCACACACCCACACACTGGGTGAACACAAGTCATTTCTTTAAACACACACAAGTGCCTTTTCTGGTAGTGGGTTATTAACACATGTTCATTTGAAGTTTACCGACACTTTTTTTTTTTTAATGAGGACCTCTACAATTGTGTGGAAAGGAAAATATATTATGGATACTATTAGCACAAAATTTCTTTAATGTGATAAATTATGAGAAAGCATAACTGAAATTCAAAACGGATGAAAATTCAAAAATGAAAAGACATTTGGAATCATATTTGAAGATGCTTCCCCAGAACCTAGGCCAAGTTGTTGGGCTTCAGGTGAAATAAGCCCTCAACAGTTGAAAGGTTGTCCTGATAACAGCATGAGTGCGATAACGACCTTCAGGCACTTAAAAATCAACATTTCAATAAAGGCTTTCCCTGCTAAAGACTTCCAAAAAAAGGGATACCCTATGCTTTACTCTAGTTCCCTCCACCTGGTGCTCCTGGTGTAGAAAAGTGAAGTGGAATAAATACCTCACAAATCTCTCCGTAAGTTGCTGGACAAAATTGTAAATTTCAATCCAGTTATTCGCCACACTCCCAGACCTGAAAAATGAAATTGAACTAATCAGAGAAACAAAACATTTACATGGGGGTAACCCTGCCTCTTCAAGCAAAGTAACAGTATCAGTATCTGTACTTTAGTTGCTGCAAGAATCAAGGAAGTCAACCCATCTTCGGAGATCACCTGCCTGCTGATTGTTTGCGTAGAACCCTGGCTCTTCAAAATAAACACAGCCTTCTTTCTCAGGAAATGCAAAACACACTGGGTATGCCCTAGGCTATTCCTGGTTACAAGGAAAGTGCTGTGATCATGATAAAAACAGACAAACTTCAGCAAGCGTTGAACGGGTAAGGACAGAGGGGCAGAGAAAGAACGCTTTTTGGGCTCCAGGAGCGCCAAAGGCCACCCCAAGCGCCCCCATTCCCATTTCCCAAGAGGCCCAAGACTGGCAGGCAGTTCAGGGCTCCTCCGATCACCCCGCGACCCGCACACATCCGAAAGCGCCTGCCCTCCAGAAAGAGAGCAAAGGAGCACCCGTCACGGGGTTTATTACATCCCTCCCAGGGCGACACACATCTCAGCCTCCCCAGCCACAGCTCAGCAGATCCTCCAGTGCCACTCTCACCAGCACCCCCTGGATCTCCCTCCGGCACTCACTTGTCCAGGACGAAGTAGAGATCAAAGGCTCCTTTGCAGGAACGCTGTTCCTGGGCGCCCACCAGCCCCCCAGGACCGATGAGCGCCAGCAGCCACAGCCCGGGGACCAGCCAGCTCCCGGGGCTGCGGGCCAGGGCCAGCCCCGCCACCATCGCGCGGTCAAGGGCCTGTAGCGCCCTTCTGCTCGCAGCCCCCTCGGCTCCACTTGGTGGGGACGCTAAGGTGGTAGCAGTTACCAGGGACGCACCCTGGAGTGGGGGACTGCCGACAACTAGGGCGCCGGCGCCTGGGGCCGCGGGACCCACTCACTGACAGTGGGAGGGAGGTCCTAGGAGGACAAAGGGAGACTCTGCACCCGCCGCAGCTGCCGCCGGAACTCCCGACGAATCCTAGTGGAAGCGCGATCCAGTCCTCCCCGCGGATTCCGGAGAGTTCCTGCAGACGACGAGGGCCCGCGGCGGCAGCTCGCAGAAGTTCCTCCCCGCCTCGGGCCGGGCTCCTAGCGCCCGCCTCGGACCCAGATTGGGGGTCCCATTCGGCCCGGAGGGCTGAGGTCCGGCTGCTGCGGCGCGAGAGCCCCCGGGACGCGGCGCTCCGCACCAGCTTGGCGGGGAGATCCCTCCCTTCTGACCCCCTTCCGCGGCGGCCCGACTCCCCAGGCGCTGCGAACTTTCTCCCGGTTCTCGGCGCTGGCACGGCGCAGCCGGGCGGCCCCCTTTAGGGGAGGAGGCTAAACGGGCCCTGTGGCTGCGGCTGGAGCGGAGCCTCTCCAGCCGAGGCCAGGTCTTGCCTCCGAGTGTCAGTGTGTGTCTGAGGGCGAGGGCGAGGGCGAGGGCGGGGCCTGATGTGAGGCCGCGGAGCCACACACGCACACTTGTGGGTTCGTGCTCAGTACAGATGACTAACGGCTGCCAGATTTTGGAAAGGGGAAAAGGAGTTTAGAAAAACAAGTGTCCTCTAGAAAGCAAACTTACGCATATATCCTGCAGGCCTGGCCTATTTCAGCAGCTGCGCAGAACAGCCCTCAGGGTGGCTGGGAGACCAAATACTAGCAATTTCGAGAGAGGGGGCAGCCTCCTCACTCCGCACCCTCTCCACCCCTACTAACACAGCACACACTTTTTCACTAGCTGCACTGCTACCTAAGGAAGGCAGAAGTTCCTCTTTTTTTTCTAAACCTACTTTGTACTTTCATCTCACCAAGCCAAGAAAAGACAAAATCAAAGATACATATACCTTTAGCAACTAGTACCACATCAGTATACAACAAATAAAATCTGGGGGAAAGAAACTTGCCAAGAAGTAATGACAACTGGTTTCAAGTTTGAAGGGGACAGAGGTCAGGAAATATGAGACATGATGTTAACCTTGTACTTCACTCTCATGAGGAAGTGTTTTAAACTCACATTTATTGGCTTCCTTTTCCCCTAGGTTCTTGACGCTTTGCCAGCTCATCTTCTGGAACCCCACAAACTGAACAAAGAATCCATCTTGTCCTAGGCCCAAACTAAAACCAAATACCTTGAACTTAAAACTTGTTCTTCCTCGAAATCCCCAGGCCCTCCTCACACTCCCCCACTCAGTTCTTTCCTGACTGTAAGTCCAGCAGAGGTGATGGCCATACTGAAGCATATTACCATTCTTTTATTTATTTGTTTGTTTCAGTAATAAATTCAGTCCAGTTCTGAAACTTTTTCCCCTTTATTCATTTGCTCATGTAAGATCTGCAAAAATGCAGGGAAGTGGCCTGTCCAAGCACAGACCAATAACTAATCAAATCATTTTTATCTAATAAAATTCAATGGGAGGATCATTAATTACTGGGCCAACCTACTGTCTAGATTTCCTCCAGACTGAGAGGTATTTAGGGACACAGGACTTTCAGTGCTAAAACTAGGGCATTTCCTGGGATGGTCCCTGGCAAATGAAACTGTTGTCACCCTATTCCTAAGCAATAATGACAGATGGTGAAAGCAAGGGCAGGCTTGGGAATCTCACCAAGCCATGAACAAGAAGAGGTAACATCAGCAACACTTTCTCTCCCAAGGAACACAAATACCCCGTGCTAAAAATCTGTGGGACTGCTGTTTGTGTATGTACATAGCTGGTCTGCTTTTGTGTCCCTTCTGCCCCTCCAATAAGGTCCTTGGCTCCTCCGCGCCTCCTCCTATAAGCCCCTGGCCTGGCTCTGCTGACCTCTGCATGCACCTCTTACTCTGCCAACCCCCTCCCCACCCCAGCTCCCCTCCGGGGTTTGCCCTGCTCTTTCCCTGCCCAGGGTGCCACAGGGATAATAAAAAATAATATCCTCTACCTTGTAGGGGAGTCACAAGCATTATATGAACTAAAGCAGGTCAGAGCTTATGCAAAATGCTAAGTGCTAAACACTTAAATGGTAGCGACTGCTTAGGGCATTGTCACACCCTTGGCCTCCTAAGTCTCTCCTTAAGAGGTCAGAGGACCTGGGCATTGTGTCAGCAGGACACTAGCCAGGTAAGATTTCAAACTGACTTTTGCTCCATGACAGATATGCTGGAACCATGCATGTTTAGCTTTGAATTTTAAATCGGAAATGGGATAGGGAATGCAGATTTTTAAGGGGAGAGAGAGAGAGAGAGAGAGAGAGAGAGAGAGAGAGAGAGAGAGAGAGAGAAATTAGACTGAATTATTGAGATTAATAAATCTGAAATATCTCTCTTTTAATCAAATTGTCTAGATTTCTGTTCTAGTATTTTGGTTCACAATCCACACAAGCCTCTACTCTTCTGAAAATTATTCTTTGTATCAAACCAAAGTTCTAATTCAGTGTTAGAATTTATCACTGCATAAAATCTATCATCACATAAAATATGCTAATAAATCCAAAGCCATCTTAAACTCTGTCTAACATTGTTCAAGCAGCTTGAGGTCACACCTGATGCCTGAAAGTGCTCGGCAGGCCCTTCTCATTCTCTGTCTCTTCTACCGGCACAGCAACTATGGGCTTCATGTTACATTGGATTTAGTTATTTTTTATAGACTTGTACTTAACAAACGTTTGTTGATACCTACTATGTGTCTATAAATGTTCTAAATACAAATCTTATCCCCCTGCTCTTGGGAGTTCACCTTTCTAATATCCTATCACTAATTAATTTCTATCTCCTCCCACCCCAACAAGAGAGAGAGAGAGAGAGAGAGAGAGAGAGAGAGAGAGAGAGAGAGAGAGAAATTAGACTGAATTATTGAGATTAATAAATCTGAAATATCTCTCTTTTAATCAAATTGTCTAGATTTCTGTTCTAGTATTTTGGTTCACAATCCACACAAGCCTCTACTCTTCTGAAAATTATTCTTTGTATCAAACCAAAGTTCTAATTCAGTGTTAGAATTTATCACTGCATAAAATCTATCATCACATAAAATATGCTAATAAATCCAAAGCCATCTTAAACTCTGTCTAACATTGTTCAAGCAGCTTGAGGTCACACCTGATGCCTGAAAGTGCTCGGCAGGCCCTTCTCATTCTCTGTCTCTTCTACCGGCACAGCAACTATGGGCTTCATGTTACATTGGATTTAGTTATTTTTTATAGACTTGTACTTAACAAACGTTTGTTGATACCTACTATGTGTCTATAAATGTTCTAAATACAAATCTTATCCCCCTGCTCTTGGGAGTTCACCTTTCTAATATCCTATCACTAATTAATTTCTATCTCCTCCCACCCCAACAAACAACAAACAGAGGGGCAAATAAGCAACAACAATAAACACAGAAAAATAAAATGAAATAAATGTATCCTTTATGTGTATAAACCATATGATCTGTAGTATTTACAAGTAGATACCTTTGTATGACAGCCACAATGACAAATATGGCTCTTGGGAAGTTAAGCACCATGTGGAAATGATTCATATCCATATTGCATGTGGAGTGATTCATTATATGATACCTACAGTGACTCAGAGGAAGAAAATAAATCTTCAATACCTATAGGTGACGAAGCTTATTTAAACTTTTATCAGGTATAGTCATTGAAGAACTAGATTTCTCTAATGTCTGAACTAGTTCCTGAGAAGGAATGAAATGCTTTTGGAAGGTACAATTGCTTCTAAATTAACATCTCTAGGTATGACTACAGGGGATGTCAACCAATGACAGAGAATGATTACCAACATCTGCTCGGGATTGAGAATATTTTAAATCCAGTTTCCCAGAAACAGACCTGAGACTCTGAGATTGGCATGCAGGAGGTGTATTGGAGATGCTCTCAGAAGCAAAACCTGCAAGGGGTAAGGGAAGCAAGAATGGTCAGAGGAAAAGTTGAATACGATTGCCAAGGAGGCCTGAGCTGACCCACGTGGTAGCTCTGGAGTTGAACTGGTTTCTCACTCAGGAGGCAGTGGGACCAGGGTTTTGTGTTCCCTCATGAGCCAGTCATTAAATGTGAGTTGCACCTTTACAGGGAGCATAACGTTGTTGAGCAAGGCAGCTTCCTTCAGCTTAGGACAGTTATAAGGAGGAACTCAGCTGCAAGCTAACCAAATGCCTGGCTGTGTGGAATGAGTGCCCCAGTCTTGCAGCAGGAATCTAGGTGATGCAACCAAACCATCCAGAATGTCATCTACAAAAAACTAAGACACCTGGCAGCTTGTTTGATAAAAGTTTTGTCTTCCATTTAATATTGCATCTTCACAAAGCAGGTCAGGCTGGGACTGGCATTCTAGAATGATAATGTCAAGTAACTGCATCCCTGCCTCTCAGGGCCTCTATCACAGACCTTGTCCAGGTCAGTTTCTCATTTCTCAGAGGAATTATTCTACTAGTATCTTGTCTTTGCCCCCCTCTACACACTTA